ATATATATATATATATCATCAGTTGTAAAGATTTTCACCTTCTGAACTTTATTTGCTACCGAACTTTTGAGGTTCACTTTAGTTCTATAATATAAAGTTGCAACCTTCTATAAAATTTATCCTTAAAAAAAGAAATAGGTTAATTAGGATTCCATTAAAATTAAACTACTTTTTTATTGGATGATCTATTTGTGGCAATAAATAAAACAATGGATTTTATACAATGAGACCATTTGATACAAAGAAGTCACAATTATTTATAACCATCCGAGATAAAATCTGATAGCTTGGTGTGTCACAAAAATCAAGAAATATTTTTTTAAAAGTTTGAACTTAGTCAATAGAATATAAATACAGCCCCACAATTTCACATTCCATAGTGAAGATTGATTATGAGCATCTTGCACCAAATGTAAAAAAAAAAAATATTTTTTTATAAGACAATAGGGAAGAGAGAAAATAGAGATAGTAACCCATTCCCCCATACACCATGATTGGAAGAGAGACAATAATAATTCACCTGATTTTAGAACATGATTTGAAATGCATACATTTTCCGATTATTAGTTTTTCTTTCTCTTTCAAGTAAAGGAGCTTTTAGAGTGACAAGTGTCTAATTGTGAAGTGTGAATTCCACAAAAAGAACATGCGTAATTCTCTCTCCTTCTCTAAATAGATACACTCTACAAGTGTCTAATTGTGATGTTAAAATTCCACTAAAAGAATATGCATAATTCTCCCTCGCTCTCTCTCTAGAATATGCATAATTCTCTCTCTCTCTCTCTCTAAATAGATGCACTTCATTTGATCACTCACTTCCAAAGAATCATTAGCAGTTATTTGTTCACTCTCTCTCTCTCTCTCTTTCTATCTCCTTCAAAGTTGAAACTTGTAACCGCCTAACTTTCTTGAACGAATTCGTTGTTTAACTCCTCTACTCCACGTGTCCTGCTAATTTCACACGTGAAAGAAGATGGCCCATGGATGACTCATGAGAGTCGCAACTTCACAGGGAGAGCCTAATTTATACGATTGACCATTTTGCCCGTCGAAAGGTTTGCCCACTATCCTACGAGGCAGGGTGTGGTTCGGAGTAAGTTTTGACTTGTTTTGGTCAGCCGGTTTGGTTGACCGACTAATCCGAAGCACTTCTTCCGTGTGGTTCTCCCCAAATTACTCGACGAATTTTTCATAATATCAGTTCTACCATTTTGACTACAGCTTTTGTTTGTTCGTACTTCGTACAATTAGTATGGATGCCGAGATTGAAAATTCGGATTTCGCCGACCGAAACTTTGACACTGTCTCCGAAACTTTGGTCATCCGAGAAACCAAGTCATTCAACTGTCGGTAAAAATTGGATAAATTTGTGGTCAAATTTGGAATTATCACTCTTACTTAGGAGATTTTAAGCATTTTGCCCAAACTATATTTTAATTTCAAAATTTATATTCCTAGTGCAAGTGAATTTGAGCAAAACGAAAATTTCCGAAAAATGAAAAAGTTGGGTTTTTTCTGCCAATTTTTCAGTAAGCAGAGGTGGTTCAATATTCAGTGAAATTTTTCCGAAAATTTGAAATCTTTGGGGCGAAGTTACTTAAGGAGTGTGGTTGTTGTAAGTTAGTGGGGAAGATGGGGCGTTTTGTTCACTAGTCGACCGACTTCTACGCGGTTTGGTTTGCTCATCCGATACGCTCTCTCTCTCTCTCTCTCTCTCTCTCTAAAGTAAAGTGCATATCTTTCTCTCTGTAAAGGTACAACGTTCAAACTGAGGTGGATTTATATCCACGATTTTGTAGTTAATTGGAGGGTGCGCAACTTTCTAGATAATTTGTGCTCTTTTTTCTGTGTCCTCACCATTGTACTAACGTCAAGTTAAGGTCTTTACTTACTTGGAGACTTCCGCTATCTATATTCTAGATGAACCTCTTTCTCTCTCTCTCTAAAATGTTGTAAACGTAGAAAGTACGAACGAGAGGGATCTGCTTAACTCTCTCTCGCTAACAATATGACGTCCTTTTTTTTTTTTACTCAGTATTTTTGGGCCGGCTTGGCCCTAACACGGCTAGGCCCGGAGTTTGTCAATGGGGTAACCGGCTTGGCCAGGCTAGAATCAGGCCCGTTACCACCCGAACAATTTATTGCTGTTTGTTTGGGAGTGAGAAAGGAACCAAAAACCTTTTCATAAAGCTCGACAATACTATTGTCAAAATCCCAAACCACTCCCTTTTGCTTTAAAGACTTCAAAAACAAATTTAACCTCAATGAACATTAGCTAAGGCAAGGATCTCTCCATGCTGACTTCAATAGCCATGTTACTGACCAAGGGTGTCACCTCCACTCTCTTTGTACTCTCTTCAAAGCTAAGTGACCACAACAACAATTTAATCCAAAGGATGTTAGTAAAAGGTTTGGGGTTTCTATGTGTCCGCCAGTTCACGGTGTTTGTCAAAATTTGATTTTTAATTCAGAATTTTAGGGATTCATGATCTGAGGTTAAGATGATCATGAAAACGAAAAAGGTCAAAGATTCTAATATTTAAAATATGATTTTTTTAAGAAAAAATCTAAAGTATTTATAGCGCCGTGGGTCTTTTACAACGTCCATCTCTACGATGGACGATAATGGTGAGTCGGGTTTCTACGGGTCCCACTTAAATCTATCTTAAAATTGGATGCATCACTCTCTCTCTCCTCTCTCTCTAACATTTAATTGGGTTAACAAGTAGAGCACATATGGCACGATGGAACCAGTGCTAGAAGAGTAGTTGACCACTGTATACATGAGGCCCCAAGTCTTCGTGGCTCGTGGGTCCTACTCTACTTCTCTCGTTCTCTCGCTAAAACACACACTCTCTCTCTCTCTACTTAAACAAAACAAATACCTAAACAGTCGATATAAACAACCCACATCCATATCCACCGCCACATTCCACGCTCCACCGCATCCTCATGTCATCATTAGCTAAGCACCGGCGCCCACTTTTAGAGAGAGAAAGAAAACAGCCCACGAGGACGCCTTTAGAGAGAGAAACATCCCACGGGGCCAACTAGAAGAACAAACAACTCCCCTAGTGTGACAGTGAGAAACCCCAAACAAGGACGTCACGAGAGAGAAAGAGTAAAAAAAACCCAGTTGTTTCTAGAGAGTGAAAGAGCCAACCCCCGTGCTTGTGAGTTGAACCGGCTAAGCTGCCCAAGTTTGACGCTTCTCTCCTTCCACCACCGCCCCCACGCGCCACGCAACTTCCCCACCATCCTCCATAAATACTTCCCCTTCACTCCCTTCCTTCTCACTTCTCATCAAACTTCTCCACTCTCTCCACTCTCAACACAAATCCTCTCTCTCTCTCTACTAAACTTCTCTCTTTCTTCACTCTGCTGAGTGCTTGACTTCCTAAAATCTAATTTTCGTCTCTCTTATCTTCATCAATGGCACTCGAGACCCTGAATTCTGCAATCACCTTCCCCTATCCTCCCCACACGCAGGCCGCCTCGACGTCGGACTCGGACCCAGAAGCACCCAGGTCGGAGCCATGGCTCAAGAGGAAGCGCACCAAGCGAACCCACCACAGATCAGAGGAAGAGTACTTGGCCCTCTGTTTAGTCATGCTGGCTCGAGGCGGGCACGCTTTTCCTGAACCCACATCGAACCAGAGCGAACCGAGTCTGGCTTACAAGTGTGGCGTCTGCGATAAAGCCTTCTCCTCTTATCAAGCCTTGGGCGGCCACAAAGCGAGCCATCGGAAGCTCATGGGTGCGACTGCCGACCCCACTTCTGCGGGCTCGAGCCAGAGGACCAGTGGGGCAAACAAGGTGCATCAGTGCTCTGTTTGTAATAAGATGTTCGCTTCGGGTCAGGCTCTTGGTGGTCACAAGAGGTGCCATTGGGATGGTGGGGTTTCGGGCTCGACCGACGGCGGTTCTTCTTCGATCACAGGAGGGATTAGAGAGAGAGAAACCGGGCTTTTCGATCTCAATTTGCCTGCTCAACCTGAGAGTTGGGCCGATTTCAGGACTTACTATAAAGGGCATAATGGCGACGAGGAGGTGGAGAGCCCCTTGGCTGTGAAGCCCAGGTTGTTTTATTAGGGTTTTTTTTGGGTGAGAGAGAAAGTTGGGGGTCTTGAGTTTCTCTCTCTAGAGAGAAGGGGGGTGCATTTTACATGGACATTTCAGTTACTGTTACTTTTGGCTTCTCTTTGGATGAGAGAGAAAGTTCAGGCTTTGGTTCTTGCTTTTCTCTCTGTCAGTAGTTCTAGACAGAAGGGGGGCATGGTACATGGGTTTACACTTTACTATTCAATTCATTGGGGTCAATGTTTATCTCTCTACAGTGGCCATGGGTTTGATTGCCCTTTCTATTCTTTGTGTACAGAACCATCAATTCTTTGTGAATGGTAGTACTGGTTCTTTGATTTCACTCTGTTGTGTGTTTCTCTCTTATTTTTTTCTTCAATTTCATATTGTTGTCTCTTTGATCTTCTCTTCTATCATGGAATTGATTGATTGTTGTTGTTTTTTATTTTTAAAATTTATTTGTATGCTATTTTGTGAACTGCACGTAGGTTGTTGCAGAAGAGTGAATTACTGAGCCACTGGCGAAGTTCAATGGTTTTTTTTTTTTTTTGCTAAAATTAAGTGGATAAAAAATCGGCGAGGGTTCGGTAGGGTAGAGAGAGAAAGGAGGATTTAATGGTTATTTTTTTAGAGAGAGAAGGGAAGGTGGGTTTGATGGTTATCTTTAAATTTTGAATAGAGTCGTGTAAGCAAGAGAGTTTACTTAGAAACAGCAACAAAGTCGGCCCCAATTTTGTTGCCACGCTGCACAAACAGGCAACTGCTTCTTGGCCAGCTCGGACACCGACTCTCTCCCCCCCTCTCTCTCTCTCTCTCTCTCTCTCTATAAAGTTTCTCTCGATGTCATATTATGATGCCTATATATGCGCCTTGATTTGCAAATATAGTCATGGTGCTCACACACTACTACTCTTTTGACTATGACCCTTGTTGCAAAACATGCACCGTCTCTCCCTAAGCGTAAGTGTCTCTCAATCTCTTATGGCACATGGTTTTGTATTTCCCACTTTCTCTGTCTATGCCCTTCATCTTCTTACCCACAAATCATGCACACATTCACGCCCCCTCCCTTTGCCACATGCCGACATTCAATCCCAGTATCAGTTCTCAATTATTAAATTATAAAATTGTAAATAGTAATTATTTTTAACTATTAGATGTGAAATCTAAAAAATTGAAACATATTATAATATTTAAAATTTTTTATTTTTGAACTTTGTGCCAATTAATAATACATTCTCACCAGCCCATTTCAGCAATCGATAATAACTTTGATTTTCCTGTATTAAAGATAAATAATTATACTTTTCTTTAAAAGTTAGAATTGTCAATAAATAAATAAAAAAGCACACCACTATCCAAATAATAAAGAAGGCATTCGTTCTCGTTTAATTAGTAATTAGTCACTTTCACGTGTTAAGGTGCCAGCCTATTAGAAACCTTTGGGAATCACGTGTGAGCTCCTTGAAAGCATCCAAAACACTTTGAAAGAGTCACCCTTGTTGGCACAGGCCGGCTTTCCACCAACAATAACTTTCCCATTCTTCTAAAATAGTGGCAATAGTGCTGCTTGAAAATTTCGTAAAAATCATCAACTAAAAAAAAAAATGTAAGTAGAGTTACCAATAATTACCATATTATTTAGAGAAGAAAACCTTACAATGACTTGAAAATTTATTTTCATCCCAAGCATAGAATTCAAAATTTAATTGATTTTTTTCTTTTTCTTTATGTCCATACATCTCGAGGTCAAGATGATCAATTAGTAAGCTCTCCAATGCCGCAACACTCTCATTTGTAGGACTTTTGAGGTGCACCTTACTTCAATAGTATAAAGGCGCACCCTTATATAAACTTTTTTGTTAGTATAAAGTAACCAAATTATCTAAAGGAAAAGGTTTGCATAAAGTCACACCATTGAAGTAAGATAAATAAAGCATTTTAACAAGCGGAAAATTGATTTTTTGGGACATAAATAATACTCTCATACACTGGTTTTCAAATGAGAAAACTACCACCTATGGTTGGGGCTGTCCATTCTACAGTGTTGATCGAAGCCCAAAAACTCATGAGCAGGATTTCTAGAAAGGAAAATTGTTTCATGTGGGCCAGATGGCATTTCTATATATGCAATTTAGAAAGTGTAAAGTATCCTTTTTAAAAATAGATGCAAGTAGGTGTTTCATCCCAAAACAATAGAAATTAATGGTCCAAATGTTCTCTTACTAGAATTATTATTTATAATTTTTAAAATTACCTATGGTCGGGGCTGTCCATTTCTACAGTGTTGATAAAAGCCCAAAAAATCATGAGCAGGATTTCTAGAAAGGAAAATTGTTTCATGTGGGCCGGAGGGCATTTCTATATATGCAGTTTAGAAAGTGTAAAGTATCCATTTTAAAGATAGATGCAAGTAGGTGTTTCATCTCAAAACAATGGAAATTAACGGTTTAAATGTTTTCTTACTTGAATTATTATTTATAGTTTTTAAAATTTATTTATTTTTTTATATCCATGATCTCCATGTTAGAGATTATTTGTCCTTAAAAATTAAGTCTTAAAATCAATCTCAAAAATAGATTTATTAAAAGTCCCGCATTTCTACATATGCGGGCTTGGCCGCATAGAAATTGGATCCTTCTAGAAATGATCCATAACGTGTCTAGATTCTCCTTGTGAAAAAATTGATTTGGTACTCGTAAAACTAGAGGTTTAACTGTTGCACACAATCTTAAAACGGCAAAAGATATTATACTTCTGCCGCAGGAGTATAATGTTTATTACTCCGTTGGCTAAAATCTCACCTAGAATCAATTATAGGACCCCTGGGGATTATAACCTCTTCAACCTGCAGATTAACCTCAATAAAAAGAACTCTTGATTGCACTCTCAATATACTTGAAAAAACATAATGTCATGAGATTGAATAATGACCATATACGATTTTAAGACAGTGAAGTGTTAAAAAACTCAAATTTAAGGCTTTTTATTTTGAGAATAATCAACTAGTGATTCTTAAGTGGTTCCAAAATTTCGGATTGAAATAATCCTTCCCACTAGGCCTTCTCACCAAGGAAGTAGAAGTAAACCATGCTCCCAAAATAAACATAGAATATGCGCTAAAAAAAAAAAACCGATTTAGATCTCCATGGTCAATCCATGCACAAATGGACGATGCACAGTTGGAGCCAGTGACGAAAGAATCAATGGACTTTAGGGCTTCTGTCCACACTGTAGAAATCGAAGAGAGTCTCCTTTTTCCATGTTATCATTATGGTTGTCAAGTTTGATATCGAAAATATTATTGTTAATGTCAGCTTTTAAAACAAGAGTCACACAGTTTTATAAAGACGATTTTATGCTATAAAATTATTTACCATTTTTGCAATGAGGTCATATTCACTCTTAACCATTAGATATCACATTGGATATTTTTGGATATGTTATGAAATTCAAGATTTTTGTTTTGACATATAATCTAATCAATTATACACCACCATCCAATTTAGCATCTAGTGGACGAGAATGACTGTCACCTCCTTATACTAAAAATAAAAAGAAACCATTTCATGTGACCCCTAATCTCAACTATCCTATTTGAGTAAATAGTTGGGATTACTTAAGTATTAATGTCACAATTGGGCTCATGAGCGTCATTTTGATTTGATGGCTCAATTTTATTCTATAAATCACTATGTAGGGAAATTTGGTGCATGCATACATCTTACAAGCACACATGATAAAAAAAAAAATAAATAAATTTTATTGGACAAAATTACCAGAATACCCTTAAAACTTTTGAGCCATTTTGGTCATTTATTTTCATGAAAAATTTTATTTTTTTATTTTCGCTAAGTGTGTCCCAAGAAAGAGATGGGATACCCAAATTTCAGCCAACAAGGCTTTGTAGAAAAACAAATTAAAAATCAAACAGTATTTTGGCTCAACATTGCAACATGAGTAATTCTAGCCATCGATTCAGATCGAATAGCTAAAAAATATGGTCATATAATTTATATATTATTGTCCAAGAATGTTGAAAATTTGCTCGAGGGTAGCTTCACACAGAAAGCTTCTCCAAAAAATAAATGGTCTTTCTATATACTTTTTTTTTATAAATTACACTTTGAACATAATAACTCAGGTCCAAAATATTTTTGGCTACAAAGAGACCATTTATCTTTTGTACATGAAGGTCGTAGTCATTCTCACTCATTAAAGGTCAAATTGTATAGCTTGGGGTGAGTCACGTAATTTGAGAAATTTTGTTTTGAACTTTGTATTTATTCAATGACACTTTCACGACCACCAAATTTTAAATTTAAAAGACAAAAATGATTGTGACTTCTATATACTAAAAAACAAATAGTCTCATTATAAAATAACCTCTAATTTTTATTTGCCAAGAGAATGCGAAAGATAAAAACAAAAGCCACGTAGTATTGCACCGAATAAACCTATGAAAACTTGAGTGAGAAGAATCGAAGGTGTTATAGACTCTTACGCGAAGTAAAGCATGAGTGAGCGAGAAAAGTGCGAAGTGTTTTTTTCCGGATACGGAAAGATAAAAACCCTAATTGATGGAGATTTGCGGTCTACTCACTTTCTAACGACTTTTTAAGGAGTTGAATTTATATTTTAGCTAACACTACTGTCTCTCTCTCTTGAAATGATATTTTAGCTAACATTACTCTCTCTCTCTCTCTTTCTCTTTTAAGGGGTTGAATTGATATTTGCAAAATTGTTTCATATGGGTTAGATTGCATTTCTACTCCAGAGGTAAAAAAACATCCATTTTAAAAATGAATATAAATAGTGGCTTATCTAAAAACAATTGTAAATGATCATTCAAATGTTTTTTAAATATAATTATTATTTCTAATTTTTAACTTTTTTTTTTTTCTAATATCCATGAACTTTAAGTTAAAGGTTATTTATACTCTAAAATCAAATTATATTTAAAAATATATATTTATTGCCAAACCCGCATTTCTACATATGCAGGCGGGCCGCATAGAAACCGTGTCCTTGATATTTTAGTCTCTCTTAATTTATTATTGGGCCCAAGTTTTGGACCCTATCTAAAATAATCAATAGGTGTCCAATAATACTAACAATGCTTTGGTAAGTTCGCACTTGTCCTAGTGTTTGGGAAATTTCTTGAGAGATTCTCTCTTCACATGTCTTTTTCTCTGTCCACATGGAAGCCGTCTCTCAGCGTGTTGGTGCATGCTTTTCCTTTTCAAACTCATAAATGAGGAAGGGCTTTCCCCTGTGGTCATGTACGCGTAACCCAAGTTGACGGCTGAGATTGGACGGACTTATTCACATGAGTACATCCCAGCTGTCCTTTGTTGGGCGGCTTTGTAAAGACTTTAGACTTGAGAGAGAAGTTTTTGCAGGAGAACAAGTCTGAATGAGTTGTCCATATTTTAATGCCTTATTCTTTGCTTTCTATATAATGGACAGGTTCATGGTACAATGGAAATGGAAGCTGTATCATTTACAACATGGCAAAACAAAAGTGATTACTCGGTTACAGCAACGTGAAAGGTATGAGAAAAGAGATGAAAGAGAGTTGCAAGAGGGCACGTTTTGTGCATTTTTTTATAGATTTTTTATTTTATTTTATTATTTATTTATTTTTTCAAATTTGTTAGATGAGATGCATTTTGAGTTATCGACTATGGCAGAAGGACAAGATGCTTCGTCATCTCGAAAAATTGGTGCCACGTAAGTTGCTTTAGCTCAGAAGTGTCAACACTGTTATGTAATGGTGTTGAAACTCTTGAGCTATAGTGGTAACAGTGAAGAGTCTTTTGATTCACTGTAGATATAATAATAGGTAAAAAGAAAATAGATTGTATACAATGAGACCATTTACCTTTGATACAAGGATGCCACAATTACTTAAAACCGTACGATGTGAGATCTAGAAGCTTGGGTGTGTCACAAAGTTCGAAAAAATTTCTTTTGAACTTTGAGCTTGGTTATTGAAATAAATGCAACCAGCCAATTTCACATCTAATGATCAAGATTAATTGTACAAAAAGTAAATGATCTCACTTAATATTTTCCAAAAAGAACATATTATTCAAGGAATTGTAACCCTTGAAATTTATTTTTTTGAATGTTAACCCCCTTTAAAATTACTGATTGTCGAAACATCTCAAATAAATTTAGAGGTTTCTAAGTTATATTTTACTAACGCACTTTAAAAATATTATAAAAAATAAAATTTGTCTCTATTTAGGGTAAATAAACAGGAACAATTTAGCAGTCTGATCCCCCTTAAGGATTCTCAAATAAATGACATAACTACCAGGGTGAAGTGCATGGACTAGTTCAAGGTTCCCACATAAAACAATGATGATTTTTGTGAAGATATTTTCTTAGGAGGCACATGAGCAAAACGAAAATTTATAAATAAATCTTTTAATATTTATTGGGATGTTTTTATTGCCTAATAATATAATGGGTTTTCACATCCTAAATTACCTTTCCTCAATAGAAGTCATCCTAGCAGGATTCACCATTAGTAGGATTGGATTGGCAATAGGACATCTGACCTGGTATTAGTCAGCATGATTTGAGAATAAGGGTTTTTTTTTTTCAACTTTTTAAACGAGCATAATAACAGATTAAAATTTACGTAAACGACTCCATATAATTAGAAAAACGCTTTATTGATGAGACCAATTAGGCGTAGCCTGGCCCAAATAGAGCCAAAGGACAAGCTTGGGTTAGGGCTTGTTTGGACCCATCTAGGGCCAGCAGACTCAAACCGATCCCATATGGGCCAGGGGAGAACTATGGGCCAAGGCGGCTGCCCGTTGCCAGCTCTAATCCGCAGCTAGCCATCCGTACCGCAATTCCCAATAAAACGAGATACACGTGCTCCGGGTAGATAAAAAGAAGTTCGCAAATATGTCACTTTTTTGAGTAACATTTCGTTGTATTTCATTCAATTTTCGTTGCCTCGATTACAATGCATCTCCTCTAGGCAGAATCTATGAATATGATACATCTTTAAAAACCAGTTCTTATTTTATTCACTTGTTCTAAACTCTCATAATGCCCAACCTAATATTTGTCTTGCAAGGCGACCTAATTAAATTGTAAATGGAAATTTTTATAAGTGTTGACCAGAAATAAGATGCATTTAGAAAACCCACTGGAGAAGGTTATTCCAATCATAGGGAACTTTTAAATTGATCATCTTGACTTTTAGATTCATGGAACAAAAAAAGAGATTTTAAGTTGTATTATAAATATGTTTGATCTTTTAACATATTATCTAGAGTGCCCATTTTCAAGATTTTCAAATGTTTTTAGGTCAGTTTGATCAACACTATTTTTGGAACTTTAAATTTCATAATTAGATGTGGGAATAGCTTTTCAACCAAAAAAAGGGTGGCGATAGATTTTTATGCCATTTTAAGGTTCTTCAGTACTGTATCTTTCGCATTCTTTTGAAGTGTGCCTTATTTCAATAGTATAAAATTGACACTTTATACCCAAACATAAATATTAAAACTATATACAAAATATGGATTTTATAAGATTGCGATTTTATTTGTAGAAATAAGATTTGCCTTACTCTACACCATCAATTTTATTTAAACAGTGTAGATTTGACATATCTTTTATGACAATATAAATACGTGCCATGTATTTTAAAATAGTATCCATTCTACATCGTCCAAATAAAATAGATGGTACTAATTACTGCAACCCAATTTTCCTAAATAAGATTGCAACCTTATACAACATTTCTCCTACATAAATACCTCCTGTCTTTAGAGGGATTCATTTTATAAGATATTATTCTTATCGTCCAAGCTAATAATTCTAAACTAATAAATCTTCCTAAATACCTATCAAAGGGTTGAACCACCCCCAAAATCTCTACCCTAGTAAATTTCTACTAAATCTTTAACTTCCTAATCTCATAAATCTATTTTACTTAAATTTCTACCAAATACCTAAAGAATATCTTCCCCTAAAATATCCAACACTCAATTAGATTAGAGAACTGTGATCTTACCCAACAACAAAGATAAAGAGAAATGTCTACAAATTGCTAGGGCTGCCAATGGTCCATGCTGGGCCTAGGCCTTCCATGCCGGGCCAGGTTGGATTTTGGGCCTAAATCAGTCTTGCTACGGGCTGGGGCCGGGCTACAAGAAAGACACTCTTTATCAGGGTAGCCCGAAATTGCCCAAAAACCCCAAAACCTTGCCCCTGAGCAGGGCTGGCCCAGAAAATATTTTGGCCCGGCCCGGCCTATTTAGAATCCCTTCTTTTTTTATATAAATCTTCTCTCTTCAAACTTTTTTTGTTTGTAGTAAGTTACAAAAATAAAAATAAATAGATGCTAAAATATTTAAAAAAACAAATTAAAACCCCATCTCTATTTTTCTCTTTAAAAACTCATTCTTTCTCTCTCTAAAAACCCAATCTCTCTTTCTCTCTAAAAACCAAATATCTCTCCCCTATAAAAACCCATTCTCTCCCTAAAAATCTAATCTCTCTTTCTCTCTCTAGAAACCCATTCTCTCTCTCTAAACCTACCCCAAAACAAGGAGCCTTTGGGTGGAGGGAGAGGGGGGACGAGTAGCTATTTTTTTTTTTTGGATTTATTACTAACCAGAAAAGTTTGTAGAGAGAGAAAAAAGGCTTTTAATTGGATTGGGCCTGTAAATTCTTTCATCCGGGCTGGGCTTTTCAAATGGAAATTGCAGGCCAGGCCTTATCGGCCGGTCCAAAGTCGTTTTAGACTTTGCAGGGCCTTGGGCTGGACCAGGCCTGGCCCATTGGCAGCCCTACATATTGCACGTGTCAATGTGGCTTCCTTAATCTTTTGGTTTTGGGTCCAGGGCTCAAGTTAAAGGAGCCTCTAGAGTGACAACGGCTCATACACGAGGAAAAATGGAATTGGCCTAGAACTTGCCAAGCTAAGTGCTCGGGTAAAATTTGGTGATATTTAAAAAATAATCAAAAAATTATATTAATTGTAAAAAATGAACATCTAAATACTTTATATGCAAATTTGATGCTTTTATGGTTATTTGTGAGTGGTGCTTGTCATATAATCTATTTTTATATTTTTCTTAAATGATCTCTAACTATAGATCATTTTGAGGAATTTGTCATATAATCTATTTTTCTATTTTCCTCTTTTTTATATTTTTCTTAAATGACTCTAGCTATAGCTATAGATCATTTTGAGGAATTTATGTAAGGACACTAAAAATAATAATTAAAAATACAAAATGGGTTAAATTCGGACAAAAATTAAGCAACGGGTCAGCCCCCTTGCGAGTTTTATTTATTTATTTATCATATTGCAATCCTCGATCAACTTTTTATATTAATTTTTTAAAAAATTTCGATAGTGGGGCTGTTTCCTAAGGTTTAGGACAGTGCCCAGTTAGTATGATGTTCGTATCATCGGCTGGCTTGTGAAACACTACATCACATTGCGGGTTTTGTTCTTTTTTTGTTCTTCCTATCTCTCTCTATGTCAACCCTCTCTTTCTCTATACCCTGGAGTGGCCAAGCATCCAGCTGAGAATTTTTTGCCATAGAAGTGGGATAAGTAGTGTGATTCTGGCAAGAATCCGACCACCAGGTGAGTTATTTTTTAGATTTTTCAATATTTGTACGTTTTGAGAAATTTGAATGCTAAATTTTGAACTGGAATTGCATAATCAGAGACTGAAATTGTTTTTGAGAAATTTGAATGCTAAGTTTTGATGGTGTCAGAGACTGAAATTGTTCTTGAATCACCCAATTTCTCATGCTGGGTTTAGCTTATGATGGTATACTTCATCCACTCATGTTTAGATCTGTGGAATTTCAGAATCTGGTTGAAGATTGTTTTACAAATTTCATGCTGAACATTCTATAGTATAACACATTTTTTTAATGAATTAGTCTATTTCACATAGGTAAAACATGATATCTGTGTGTATTGGAATCTGAACTTCTTCTTCTCAATCTTCTTATCCTTCTTGCTTTAGTAATAAAGTTGCAGCTCTATTGGAATCACAGAGTTCAGCTCTATCAATTTGAAATTGAATTTCAGTAAAAATGTTGCAGCAATGTACGTTCAACTATTCGTTAATGTGGATGCCATATTTTAGTTTACTGTTTCTCATTTTTTGGTTCTTGGGTCGCCTTGTTTGGAGCTAGAGGTTAGAAGGGGTCTCTTTTATCGATTATGATGTGTTGCTTTTTGGTCATATTTGTTGGATTTGGTGCGATCCAAAATCATAACAAAAGAAAATCACATATTTTGTGAGATTGAGATATTTTCATATCATGTAGGATTGAGATATTTTCATAGGGATTGAGATTGATATTAATAAGTTTATTAAAGAAAATAGAAATCCAAAGAGATTAAGACTCTTGAATATAACTCTTGGTTTTGATATATATGTAAGATCTATAAAAGGTTTTCTATTTCGTATGGATTCCTAATCTTATATATATATATAATATGAGATGAAAGTGCAGATAATTTGTGTATCCTATTTGGGTCACCATATGTGAATATTGGTTCCTCTAGAGAGAGAGAGGCCAGAGCCTTCTATGCATAAGATGCAAGGATCCCTCTTAGAGAGAAGAGAGCTTCTTACGGAAAAAAACATTCTGAAGGTACCTCCTGTAGACTCATGTTGATTGAGAGGCTTGTTTCTTATAGAGAAGCGGTTCCCTTTGAGATTTTGGATGATTTCCTTTTAGTTAGAGAAAATATCAGTTTCTCGTTATTCTCGCGTCCCTATCTATTGTTGTCGTCTGTTGTTATTGGTAATGGTTGCCAGAAGTAAAGAGAAGGAAGGGAGAGTGGTTTAAAAGGGTTTGCTCGACTTGAATTTTTGTTGAGGTTTGTTATAAAATCTTTAATGTAACTTTCATTAGTATAATAGATTTTAGTTTACCATGGTTGTGGATATAACCCTCTTGGTTGAACCATGTAAATCTCTGTGTTTTCATGGTATGTATTTCATGTTTTATTTCTCGTATTTTATTTGTCAAATATTAACCCATTGAGCTTAGAGTTTCCGTGCAAGTGGTATTAGAGCCTAGTTTTGGGTTGTCGGTATGACAATAAAGGTTTCGAATGCAAAGTTCAAAGTGGAGAAATTTGATGGCAAACACTGTTTTTCAACGAAGATGATAGGAGGAATTTTTTTGGTAAAAAATGAAGAATTTATGCAGTTATCCAATGGATGTTGACATGGTGAGCATGTGATTTTGATATCAAGGTGGAATTGTTGATTTGGTGCCTAAAATCACCAACATAAGGAAATCTCATATTTTGTAAGATTGAAATATTTCCATATTACGTAAGATTGAGATATTCACATAACGATTGAGATTGATATTGATGAGTTTCTTAAATGAAATAAAAATACTAAAAAGATTAGAACTCTTAGGATATATCTCTTGGTCTTTTGAGATATATGAAGATCTATAGGAAGTTTCCTATTTAATATGATTCCTAATCTTATATATATATATATATATATATATATATATATATATATATATATATATATCACCATATGTGAATGGTCTTTCAACTAGAGAGAGAGGGAGCTAGAGCTTCTTGTGCATAAAATACAATTTCCTCTTAGAGAAGAAAGCTTAATTTGAAAGGAAACATTGTGAGGGTGCTTCTTTTCGAGAGTAACATTGTAATGGTGCCTCTTTTGGACTCCCAAAAATTGAGAGACTTGTTTCTTGCAAATAAGTGGTTCCCATGAAGATTTTTGGTAGTTTCTCTTTTAATAAGAGAAAGTTCATTTTCTCGTTGCTCTCGCGTCTCTTATCTAATGTTGTCAATATTGGCATAAGTAAAAAGAAGGAAGGGAAAGTGGTTGAAAAGGGTTTGCTTGACTTGGGGTTTTTTTATCGAAGTTTGTTCTAAAATCTTTGATGTAACTTTCATTAGTATAATGGATTTCTATTTTCCATGCTCGTAGATGTAGCCCTCTTAGGATTTCTGTTTGCCATTCATGTGGAAATAGCCATCTTAGGTGAATCATATAAATCTTTGTGTTCTTATTGTATATATTACATATTTTATTTCTCCTATTTTATTTGTAAAAATATTAACCCATCGGGTTTAGAGCTTTCGCGCACAAC